GGCTCTATAAAGCGATAAGTTTTTTCATTGGTCATTTTTACTACCATTGCGTAGACACTAGTTACGATGCGTGCATATAAAATTTAAATCAGGTGCGTCCGATCACTCTGGGAGCTCGTAGCAAACTGAACGTGCCCCCATCGTGTGGACTTTTGTAAAAAACCGACACCACACGGTTCTCGCGCCAACTTGTGGGCTATCATTCCAATACATACTAATGTAAGCATAAACACCCGCTCTACACGATGGCCATCGTTATTGGCCAGTATGTTGGCCAAAAACGATGATTATAATATAATTGGAATTATATCCAAACCTTGTTTGAATATAATTGTACCATCATTAGAAATGCACAAAATGCAATGATACGCACAAAAAGTTAATGTCTATATGCTGTGCACAGAGTACCATAGATAATACAAGAGTATAAAGTACCTTTGTAACTTTGTATAAAGTGGACTGGTAAAGTTCTAAAACATAGACATAGTATCTCCTCTATCTACGTTCTAAAACTAAATATATATTTATCTATGGTTCTAAAGTGCTGTGTGGGCAGTGTGACCATATGTGGCAGTTTCCTGCTATTTTGGCAGGATTGGCCTCTTATTTTAGCCTCTGGCATGATCGGTTGACGTTTTATAATACCTGGCAGTATTTGGCAGTATGGGGATGTTAAAAATAGATTTCATTATGGCAACTTAAAATGCCGAAAATGGCAACCCTCGGTACTTCGCCTTGGAGGTGGGCAAAGTGTATCATTTTTGGGATTGGAACATTTGCGTCTTGATCACTGAAATGTTCCGAAACACTGATATGTTTCATTTGGCTCATTTGTATCATCGACTCAAAAGATATAAAAGAAAGAATGTTCCGAATATATTAAGTTGCGTCGCGGGCGTTTATTACTGACTGATCCGTGAAATGTTATGTGGCAACAATGCTGAATAATATAAGTTCTTAGATTATTTATTGTGTACCGTAATAAGATTGTATATGAAATCGATTCTCCTTCATACTTTAACAAAAATGTCACTATGTCAATTCATTATTCACAAAAATGTCCATTTACACAAAACAGCTATGTCTATGTACACAGAATTTACTCGTAAAGTATCATAACTCTAAACTTTATGATGAAAAGGAAGAAAGTAAAGTCGCAATAATCACTACGCAAAGAAATCCTAAACATAACTCAGTATATTTTCGTAAACAGGCACTAATGAATATAAACAATTTGACAAGTGCCACATCAACGTAAAATGACAACTTGTTAATGCAAACGTTACATACAAAAAACGACCGTATAGTATTTGACACATAAGCGCCTTAGTGGTAATTTTTACGTGCATGAATAACGTCAGCGAAAATCCGTACGAGTTGAGTGATACACTTCTTATTTGTTACCTCTATGTGACTTGTGTGAATTATAATTATTTCACCCGCTCACTCGCCACTCGTGAGTCAATTATGTTAATCATTGTCTCAGTCTCTCTCTCTCGCTCGTGGCTCAGTCGCCTCACAAGCGACGCGTCGCGCGAAATGAGCAAAGAGCAAAGTAATGTTACACTGTTCCAGATACAAATGATACATTTGGAACGTTGTTACTGAACCAATCTTTTGTGTCACTTCAGTGATTCGTATCGGTGAGTCGTTTCCGTAAAGAGATACACACGCCTACTTCGCCTGTATTCCCCTGAATTTCCCTGTACTTCTAGTGTTATATTTGTATCACATTTAATAAACAACTTTAAAAGTATAGGCGTAAAGTTGATAATCTTAAAGCGAGTATTCGTAAACACGAGTTAATGGTTAATATTTCAATCAGTCATAGAAGAGACGTACTTTAGTTTGGTATCGCATTAGATTTAGTGGTCACAATATCTTGTTAGCGATATCTTGTTAATAATACTTCGTGTACGATAATAATTAATGGTGGTGGTGATGAAGCGAAAATATGAAAGGGCTTATAGAGTGGAGTGGGAGCAAGCTCCTTTACTTTCATCGTGGATCCTCAAAGCTAAAGATGATCAGATCTTAATTGGCATCCCGGCTGTCTGCTTTAAAGGAGCATTCCGTTACTAGTAAACATAAAAAATAACATCCGTGAGTGTCGTGGAAAACTCGATTGGAACGAAGTTCCTTTCGTAGTATATTATTATTGATAACGTTATATTATACAAATAAATGAATTTAGTAATTTACGCTAGTGTCTATTAAAATTAAGCGTCATTTAAAATAAAATAATATTTCTTTCATGGCAAGATAAGAAAAAGTGCGAGGGAGATGGAAATTATTCCATCTCCTTTTCTCGCAAGGCCGTCTACAATACGTCAGAAGGGGTGGTGACTTAAAAAATTTTACACTTTTTCTCGCATAGTCACCATCTCCCTGGAACTTCGTTCCAAAAACAGATTTAGATATAAACAAACATGGAGCGTTTATTTTGCACGTTAAACAAGGCATTGGTAGGCATGGCAGTTGCATTGCATTCAAACCAACGAAAGATATGTTTAATTTTAACGTAATAAAAATATAGCATTTAAACATTGAGTTATCATTAAAATGTGTATTTTTAGTTTTCTTAGTTTAATACAATTATACAATGGTAAATAATGTTGGCAGTATTTAGGCATTTTTCACTACAGACTTTGGCAGGACTTGGCAGGTTTTTAACCAAAGTAAGGCAGGATTTGTATTTTAAAGATGGTCACCACAGAGTACTTTTTATGGTCACACTGTGTGTGACCCGCCTAAGGGTATTAGCATAGTGTTTTGTGGCTGTGGGTCACAGTAAGGATGTGACATTGAGTGAAAAAAATCGATTTTTTGCTTTGTGATAATAATCGGTTTAAGAAAAATCGATTTTTTTATAAAAAAATAATCTATTTTTGCGAAAAAAAAATTTATTCGAAAAATTATCTTCTGGTTTTAGAAATAAACTACAGAACAATTTTTTAACATATAACTTTGAACAATAAAAAACTAAAAATAATTACTGCCACAAATGTTCAGTGCCATTTAACAATTTATTACAACCAAAATAAACAGAAACGATAAATTAAACTAAGTTTTACGGACTTTATCGAGTTTAATTTAACTTTTTATTTCCCGACATTTCAGGTGCTTTACAGCATGCATGGTCACAGAGGGGACTGAGGTGTTTGACGTCCCTATGTCATAGTTGAACCACAAATCCTCGCAAAAGAACACCGATTCCTACCAAGGATGATTCGATAGGCTATCGAAATTAAAAAAACATCCTAATTTCAATAGAGAAGATGGATGGGTGCTGCCATCTGCTTGGCATCCTATAATTAATAAAATTAAATCCAAACCCAAGCATACCACTGTAAGACTTCAAGATACTGTAAGCTCATTCTGCGTAGATCGGACCAAAAATTAATATTCAAAAACTGAATTTAGCCAGGCTAACTATGACATCTGGACGTCAAAGACCTCAGTTCCCCCCGTGACCATGGGTGCTGTGAAGCACCCGAAACGTCAGGAATTAAAAAGTTAAATTAAGCGTAATCAAATCCGTAAAAAATAATTTCATTTAATGTGTAGTCTTTACGTAAATATAAGAAATCATTAAGAAACCATAATAGTTTTTTTTAAACTAAGTTTGAACAAACAAAAAGTCTAAATATCATTATGCCAGTAATGTTCAGAATCATTTACATTGGATTAGAATGAAAATAAAATAAAAATATAATTATAAATAATCCGACGACAACCTTTTGATCTCAAAACTAAAGTAAAAGACAAATCTTTTTCTACACATTCTTTTTGTAAACAAAAAAGTAAAAAAACATATTGCCATGAATTTTCAGTTAAAAACTTTAAAAACAATCATTTCACCAAAATTCTTCTTCGTCTCTTTCCCAAAATACGGTTTCGTTTTTTCCTGACAATATTTCCCGCTTTCAAAAATAATCTTTCGGCTGGCGCGGAACTGGCCATCACTGAGAGGTGTTTAAAAGCCAATTCGGTTAGTTTAGGGAAAGTTCCTTCAGAGCTTCTCCATATATTGAGGGCATCTGCCTGGAGATTTGATAGTGGTGCCGCAATATATAGATCCAATTCAGTATTTTTGCCTATTGACGTGTTGGCCGCTATCATTTTTTCATTATAAAATACTTCTGTCAGTCACTTTTACGCGTTTCACAAGACATTTTTATTGTTTATATATAATTGTTTACACTAACCAAAGAAAGAAAGAAAACCTCAGAATACTTTTACTCCTAGCGGAGGAAGAAACCTGTTGAAAACATACGAAAAGCGAAACTGTTTTACATACATTGAGATACATAAAGGTGGCGCCGTCTTTTGATTGACTTATTCATGTTATTGAACTTACTTCACGTTTTTACATCCATCGCACAGATGACTCTGATTACAAAAATCGATTGAAACGCGTAATTTACATAAAAATCGATTTATTAAAAATCGACGATTTTATATCGAATCGATATAAAAAAAATCGACTATGCAAAATCGATTATAACAAAAAATTAATCGATTAACATGAAAATCGATTATTTTTTCACATCCCTAGGTCACAGAGTACATTGTATATACATAACGTTAGTTTCTCTATCTGGTCTGTGATATTGATATACATGAAATGAAACTATGGGTCGTAGTGATTATATTCTCTTTGCTATGGGTGGCGCGCAGTTTGGATTTTGGAATATTATGTTTCCTTCTTTAAATTAAAATATTAGTTTTTATTATATATTAATTATTATTAATTACATTAAAATGTAGCATGTAAAAGAGTTACAAAGAGAGTAAAAATATATAAGAAATTGAGGCGCAACCTGAAAACAGTCATTGTTTTTGTTTTGTATCCATAAGGTGCAATAAGGTGACTGTAACTTGTAACAATCAAAGTTTATCATATCACGATTATATTAGCTTATCTATGTCATACACAATTCATCAGTAATATGTAATTAAACTTTTTATAAAAATACATTTATTTCACTTATTAAAACATGAGCAATATTGATGAAGTCGCAAGTACAATATCACATGATGAACTCTTGGAAATAACACAGTCTTCGCTTTGTACACTTTTAAATTGTGATTCTCTACTATGTGATTTACCTTCAGACATTATTATTGAAGAAATTTTGTCACAGGTATTCTATCTAATTGTGTTTATTATGTATTTATTTATGTATTATATTGTCTGTTTGTCACCAACATTCACAGCCTTGTTGGTCTACTGGTAAGCACACCTGCTGATCTTGTAGTTCTGGCTTTTTTCAACTAAGTTGGGTCAAAATCTGTTAATGGGTTCTTCTATCAAGAAATTCTAGGGATTGGCTACTTGACTAAAATTCAGCCTGGGGGACATTATTATTTTTAAAACAAAATGCTTTGTATTTGTATGCAATGTACTGTCAATGTGTAGTAGTTACAATATAACAGTTTAATTATTTAATTTTTAGATTGCAGTAGAACATGGACAGTCAATTGCTATATTTATATCTAGAGAAGAAGAACCTGCTTTAAAAGTTATAGTAAGTACAGTAAAATAACCCACATCTATATATCCTCACTGGCAATGGAATATGGCTATATAATAACTATGATGCCAAAAAAGCAATTGTATGGTGCTTTGGAGATTAGCTAACACCAACAAAATGCCATCATGCACTAAGCATTAGAACAAATGTTCACCTCTTTCTGCAAGACAGGTTATATTAATACTGTGGCACTAGATGATGAAAGAATGGTTAACTTCAAGTGGTATGTGATAGTTTGTATATACGAGGGCGGACTGAAAATTTCGGGAATCAAGGAAGTGAGACAACATTACTATTTAAAAATGTATTTATTGCTTTTCGGTTTTGGAGACAAATGTGGCCACCATTTTTTTTGCAACACTCCGTGAACGAACAATTTTTGTTGGCATTAACTTATTTTCGAACACCCAAACTCGTGACTAGTTTTTTGTTTCGGGTTCGTATGCGTATATCCAGGATTCGTCACCTGATACGATGTTGTATACAGCATTTGAGTATCCTGCGTGGAATCTTTCGAGAGTTCTGACACACCAAGTAACGCGAGCTGCTTTTTGCTCTTCACAGAGCGAATGCGGTATCCATCGGGAAAACAACTTCTTTACACCTAATTGTTCATGCAAGATTATTTGTATTTGACTCATGCCAATGTCTAAAGTTACCTGAATTTCGCGTTATGTCACATGTCGATCTTCCTCAATCAGCTTACACACAGCATCAACGTTTTCTTGGGTGACTGCAGTTTTTGGACGACCTTGACGGAGATCATCAATGAGCTTGACACATCCACGTTGAAATTCAGCAAAACAGCGATAAACTGTGGTTTTGGATGGGGCTTCATCACCAAATGCAGAAATCATCCGGTCAACACACTATTTTTGTGTTAAACCACTTCGAAAGTTATAATAAATCATCGCTCTTGAATTTTCTCGTAACCAAAGTCAAAAAACTGGCACCAAGACAGCACAGAAAAAGTGTTTGTCCTAGCTTACCAATATATTTCCCTAACCTATCATAACTCATGATAATTACCCGTTTCCAAAAATTAAAGAAAAATGAATAGCCAAGAGTACTGCAATCAAAATAGTACACTGCTGGAAGACAAGTGGTCAGAGGTGTTTTCCATATCCAATAGTTTAAGCATGTAGAAAGTGTGTACTTGCTTAAGTAAAGTATAAAAATATTCTAATTTTGAGTATCTAATTTCTTTTGGCATAACCCTTATTAAGATTAGTATTAACTACAAAATCTACATAGTTAAGTAAGTTTTACTTCAAGTTGTTAGTTGATTATACTGGATAATTGACTAATCAGCATTCAGGCAATATAACATGTATAGTGGCTTTGTTTTAGAAATAACAACGTTGGATTATATTAGGAATAAAAGTTAGTGTATGTTTTTTTATTGGATAGGATGACAAAAAAAGCACACAGTCCACCTGATGGTAAGTGGTTGCTGTGGCCCATAGACAGTAGATTTATCCTCGTTTGCGAATCAAAATGCAGATGCGTGGTCACCCGTGAGGACTAAGATGGAATGCCTCCTTGCGAGTAAAATGGGTCTCTGGTTCTCTACACTCACTATACGAAAATCACAGCAGTGTTAAGCTGCTATTTTATGCTGGTATTCTGTGAGAATGTGGTCCTTCCCCGGTCGAACCGACCCATTTGTGCTACAACTATACCAGTAATATAGCTGGAGCATGGCTCTACCACATATAAATATAAAATTAATATACAAGGGTTGATGCAAAAGTAATGATAAAGAAACATTAAATAGGGTGAGTTAAAAATTTTTTTTCTACATAGCCTAACAGGTCAATGTATTTAGTCTATCTTTTTTCAAAACCAGAATTCCCTTACAAAAAAAAAATCTTTATCTTGACCCTCCAAAAAAGCCTCAACAGCATCCATCACTTTACTATCCTCTGCAAATTTCTTGCCTTGAAGGTGTTCCTTGAGCTGAGGAAGAGATAGATAGAAGTCACTGGGACTAAAATCCCATTTTTTGAATGGCTACCATCGCAACTGTGACTTTGTGAGCTGGAGCGTTGTCTTGATGAAACAGCACTCCAGCTCGTAATTTGCTGCGTTTTTTTTTTCATTATTAGCCTTCCGCAATCTTCTTATTTGGCCTGCATACTGCAAAGTAGTTAAACGCAACCGTCGGAACTTCTCCGCCGCCTGGATAGACTATAGAAAGGCATTCGACTCGGTGCACCATACATGGCTAAAGAGGGTCCTTGAGCTGTACAAGGTTGACTGTACAGTTAGAGACTTCCTCGGGCACTGTATGGGGGAGTGGAGTTCAATCCTTTGTCATCTAGGCGAGCGGATGACGGATGCGGAAAGCCGCATAAGGATAAGAAGGGGTATCTTCCAGGGCAATTGTTTGAGTACCTCTCAGTACCTTACTGGAGGACTCCAGGAGGGGATTTCAGCTTCGGAAAGAAGGGACAAAAGTGACCCACCTTTTCTATATGGATGATCTCAAATTATTCGCCTCCAGTTGCTCCCATCTAATGGAATTGCTAAACATCACTTGTGATTTTAGTAATTCTATTAGAATGGAGCTGGGGACGGATAAGTGTGCGGTCCTCCATGTTGAAAGGGGAAGGGTTGCTAACTCTGAGGGCATAGACTTATCTATGCCCATCAACATAAGGACCTTTTCCGAGGCTGAAACATACCGATACCTGGGTATGTCACAGAACATCGGTGTAGATAAGGCGGGTATGAAACGGTCAGTTTGCGATGTGTTTTATGCACGCTTGACCAAAGTGCTTAATAGCCTTTTGTCCGATGTGAATAAGACGCACGCATATAACGGTTGGATCATGCCTGTTCTAATGTCTACCTTTGGCATACTCAGGTGGACTCAGACCGAACTGAACGCTCTGGACAGAAAAATCCGCACTGTTATGACGTCCTACAGGATGCATCATCCGAGATCGTCAGTAATGAGGCTGTACTTACCGCGGAAGCATGGTGGGCGCGGCTTTTTAAGCGCGCTTACCATGCATAATTGCGAAGTGTGCAGCATCCGTAATTACTTTTTGACGAGAGCGGATGATCCATATTATAGGTTATAGGGACGTTATTTCTTGTAATAAAGGGCTAACCCCTCTATCCTTAGCCAACGAGCAATGGCAAGACCCGGCAGTACAGAGCATTTTCGACCGGGAGACCGAATGGAAGGAGAAGGAGCTCCACGGGAGGTTCTACAAGGCCCTTCATGAGCCTTTCGTGGACACAGTCGCCTCCCTCCACTGGCTACGTTTCGGTTACCTCTTTGGGGAAAATAGGGGTTTTGTTTGTGCAATACAGGACCAGGTTATTAAGACCAACAATTATCGGAAATACATCCTAAAGGATGGCGCCGTCGACATCTGTCGAGCTTGTCGCCATCCCGGTGAGTCACTTAGGCATGTCATCTCCGGTTGTTCGGCACTTTCTAACTCTGAGTATTTACACAGACACAACCTAGTAGCCAGGATTCTACACCAGGAGCTCGCTCTGAAATACGGTCTCGTGGATCGGAAACTGCCATATTATAAGTACTTGCCGGAAGCCGTGCTCAAAAATGACCGCGCTAGGCTCTACCGGGCCATTATCACAGACAGGACTATTCTTGCGAATAAGCCTGATATTGTGCTGATGGACCGGGCACAGTCAAGGATATTTTTGGTCGACATTACCATTCCTTATGACGAGAACCTCGTGAAAGCCGAAACACATAAGCTGACAAAATATCTGGACCTGCCTCACGAGGTGACCGACATGTGAGGTGGTCTAACGGCCGAAGTTATTCTTGTGGTCGTTTCTGCGAACGGGTTAATCCCAGTCAGCCACTCGGGTCATCTGAGGCGACTGGGACTCCGTGACGGACCGCTCCCAGCTCAAATGCAGAAAGCGGTGCTCCTCGATACCGCCCGCACCTAATTATCTAGATCTAGCTATAAATAATAATATCTTTCGGTTTTCTTAGGAACAGTAAATAATGAAAAGTCGACATTTCTATCGTTATCTACCCGCATGTTATGCAGTACCTTTTGGCTTTTTGAGAGGCCATACTTGAATAATAACTCAAAAATAAATATCAAAGGTGCCTAAATACTTAATAGGTTGTTCGGAAAGTCATTTCGTTTTTTTTTGTGGAAATGAAAGACAGTTTTCGTATAATAAACAAATACTTTATTAAATTATATATTGACCGTTCTGGTCCAACACCTTTTGCCATCTTTCTGGTAGTAGCATAATTCCACGCTCATAAAATTTTTGGTCTTTGCTGGCAAAAAACTGATCGAGGAGGTTTTTGACCTCCTCATTTGAGGTGAAGGTTTTACCGTCTAAAAAATTTTGGAGTGACCGGAACAAATAATAATCCGATGGTGCCAGGTCTGGAGAATATGGTGCGTGTAGCATTGCATCCCATTCAAGCTGTAAAAGCTTTTGGCGAGTGACCAAACTAGTGTGAAGTCTCGCGTTGTCTTGGTGAAACACTACACCTTTCCTGTTGATTAGTTCTGACCTTTTCTGTTGAAGTGCATCATTCAGTTTGTCCAGCTGATGACAGTAGACTTCCGAATTAATCGTTGTGTTATCCGGTAAAAGCTCAAAAAAAAACGATTCCTGTAAAATCCCACCAAACAGACAGCATCACCTTTTTTTGGTGAATATCGGCTTTGGAAATGGTTTGAGCCGGTTCATCTTTTTTGCTCCATGACCTCTTGCGTTTGACGTTATTGTATACAACCCATTTTTCGTCCTCAGTGATGATGCGCTTCAAAAACGGATCATTTTCGTGACGTTTGAGAAGCGAATCGCAGACGTTAATGCGGCGACACAGATTTCTCTCTGTGTACATCGAGCTTCGAGGATAATCCCAGGCCTTTGAAGTGGTCATAAACTGTTGAATTTGATAAATTTAACCTCAATCCGATCTCACGTGTTGTTATTCGTCGGTTCACATCAACTAATGCCTTTATCGCGTCTTTATCAGCTTCAATCCTCTGTCGGGAAAAAACGAAATGACTTTCCGAACAACCCAATATAAGAGAAAAAAACTTTTTTTCTTAACGTAAGGCGAGCTTCAGCTAGAATTAGACCCATGTAGGCAGGCAGGGGGCGCGCAGCGTAGGTGTATTCTCATGCCTAAAGCGCGGAGTGAGACAAGCAGGAGAAAAGGCAGAATACTTAAAATCACTCAAGTATGATCTCCCTTACAAAAATTAGGTTAGGTGGTCTGTAAGGAAGCATACTTGTACCCTTTATTATTTATGGTTTACTTCTATGAGCACTGGCTCAGTGCATTAGCTGTCACAAACTACATAATCTTACCTATGGTTTATCACAGATGACATCTCAATGTTCCAATATTCAACATACAGTAAATGCGTAGTGCAGTACGGGCCACCGGCGGTTCGGAGAGGAGTAGCCATACGCAGGCGTTCCCCTCTGTCGGACTATAGTCCACACGATTCTATGCTTACAGTAAAACTAGTTGACTACTCGAAACTCACTCTAATTGAACTAGTCGAGAAACTGATCCGAGGCCGTTTCAGAGTTGTCGCTGTCACTGAGCGATACTGTTATAATGTGTTTTTATAATTATAATTAGTTAATAAACTTTGTGGTGGTTACCATTTTATGATTTTGGAAATGAGTTTATGTGTGAAATTGCTAAATATATTTGAAATATTGCATTACTTTATAAGAGAAATATTTATCTGTATATAACAATTATCTACATTTGATGTAATACTTGCTTTTGTATAAATGTTGAATTTGGATAGGTTTAGACCATGGATCAGCAGCTATCTAGCCTACTCTGACTGCTAAACTTGGTTGTCTTAAAACAATCCACGATTGATTATACCTTATGAAGTAAGGCAAAGTGTAATAAGTTTCAAATCTTAAGCATGCATCATGTTGTCAACAGGTACCACAAAAAGCAACTGTTTGGGACCTTAAGAAGGCAATTGCCAGACATTTTGAAATACATCAGAAGAGGACGGGAAGTAAAGTTAAGATATCTTGGAAATACATTTGGAAGACCTATGACTTAAATTTTGATGGTATAATATTGGACAATAATAACAGTCTCATTGAAGACTATGGTGTGACCAACAAAATAACATTAACTTTTAAAAAGAGAAGGAAAAATAAATAAAATCATGTTAATACATATTTAATTAAAGTTTATTTCTGAAATGGTTTTAATAAACATTTATGTATTACTCTTACATTATATTTCTATGAACTGATTACCTAACTGAATGTAGTTTAGAATTTTATGAGAAACTTAAATTATTTAAATTTTGTGATATCAACATGATTATTAATGGAAATAGTCTAATATTAACTCTAGAGACAGTGTAGTTTTTTAAGCTGTAAAAATAGTTAACATAATTAAAAATAAAAGTATAGTGGGAACTTTGTAAAATAAATTCTGAGACTTCTAGATCTTTATGGAAGTAAATGTAAAAAATACATACAATTTTTTGATTGCTAAGTAATGTGTATACTTCATACTTTAGAGACAAATACATATTAGCACAAGTTATAACAAGTTGCATTATTAATGCCCTCCTACTTTACAAACACTAAGAAGGTCATCTAGAACGACAGTTATGTTTACCTAATAAGTGTTAAAAGTGTTTAAGCTATGATGATTTTAGCTTATTGATAGCATTGTGCAAAGATGTGAATATATAGTTCAAAGAAATATAGAATATAATAAATCCTAATCCTAATAAACCCTACTTAGAATGATGTAATAAAAATATAGTTTAGCTTTTATAGCTGTTCGAAGTCAGGTTGCGGCGGAGGCTCTTGCGGCAGTGGCTCAAAGTCGCCGAGGCTATAATGTGGCTCTTCGTGTCGAGGGGTCGCCAACGGTCTATCATACGTATCCTTCAGTAGTTCTTGATCATGCTGAAATTTATAAATAATTATAAAACTTCATTTTGCAGGAGCCCACTAGATAGAGTGAAGACCTGGTAAGACATGCAGGAAAGTCGATGGATGCAGGTGGCTCAAGACCGTGCTTTGTGGCAATCTTTGAGGGGCCTATGTTCAGCAGTGGACTTGTGAAGGATTGTGATGGTGATAATAATGATGATGATGACCAATATGAATGTCTCATATGGGTATTATTAGCATAATAGATTGCGTCTAAAACTCCTTCTGAAGAATTTTTTTTTATAGGAGAGGGGGCAAACGAGCATGCGGCTCACCTGATGGTAATTAACTACCGCCGCCCATGAACAACAACTGCAACACCAGGGAGGGAACTGCAGATGCGTTGCCGGCCTTTTAAAAAGGAGTACGCACTTTTCTTGAAGGTCCCTAAGGTAATCGATTCCACAAGGAAGTCGTGCGAGGAAGAAAACATCTTCTAAATCGCACAGTGGTGGACCGCCAATCATCCAGATGGTGTGGATGGTATCGGGAGTTCTGCCGCGATGTGCGTTCGTGAAATTTGGCGGCTGGGATTAATCCGAACAATTCCTCAGAGCACTCCCCATGGTAGATGCGAAAGAAAATGCAAAGGGATGCAACATCTCTTCGCAGTGCCAATGAATGGAGCCGATCGGAAAGGGCTCGGTCGTTGACGATTCGAACCGCTCTGCGCTGGATGCGGTCAAGTGGAAGAAGCTAGCACTGGGGAGCCCCTACCCAGAGATGGGAACAGTATTCCATGTGAGGCCGAACCTGCGCCTTATAAAGTTGCAGGCGGTGTGCCGGCATGAAATACTGTCCCGCTCTGCTGAGCACGCCAAGCTTTTTAGAGGCCAATTTGGCCTTCTCTTCCAAGTGAACCACGAAACTGCACGTCACTCGATATGTCGACTCCGAGGATACCAATACTGGCTGAGACAAGAAGGGTAGTGCCGTGAAACTGAGGAGATACGACAAGGTTTTTTTTAGCGGTAAACGCGCAAACTTGTGTCTTCTGAGGATTAAACTGGACTAGATTTAGTCGCCCCCAATCCGAGACTTTGTTCAGCAAAGACTCGACTTCAGACACAAGTTTGTTCCGGTACTCGGCGACGTTTTCCCGAGAAATATTGGCAAGGCCGGTGTATAGAGCATCACCAGTGCTGTCATCCGCATAGCAATGAATGTTACTAGTTAGCAACATATCATCGATATGCAGAAGAAACAGCGTTGGTGATAGCACACAGCCTTGTAGAACACCAGCGTTAATAGGCTTGTAGTCAGAACATGCACCGTCTACAACAACCTTGATGCTCCGATCTGCAAGGAAGCTGGTGATCCAATTGCACAATTTCTCGGGTAGCCCATAGGAAGGGAGCTTCGAAAGAAGCGCTTTGTGCCAAACCAGATCGAAGGCCTTCGCAATGTCCAGACTAACGGCCAACGTCTCCCCCTTGGACTCTACTGCCTCCGCCCATCTATGGGTCAGGTAGACCAGAAGATCACCAGCTGATCGACCCCGACGAAAACCGTATTGGCGGTCACTAACCAGCTGGTGATCCTCAAGGTACCGGATGAGCTGGCAGTTAATAATGGATTCCATTATTTTGGAGAACAAGGAGGTGATCGCGATAGGCCTATAGTTGGACGGGCCTGAGCGGTCGCCTTTTTTAGGGATCGGGTGGACAAAAGCTGTCTTCCATGAGTTCGGGACTATGCCTTGGGAGTAGGAGTACCGGAAAAGACGCGTTAAAACCGGTGCCAACTCCGGAGCACACGTCCTTAGCACAATTGGGGGGATTCCGTCAGGCCCACTCGACTTCTGGATATTCAGGGAGAGAAGTGCTTTGCGAACCGAGCGCTGTGTTTTCCCCCCGTCATCAAGAGTCGAGTTGGACGCAAAAAGGGAGCCTAAACGGTCAGCTTTGTCTTTTGCGTCTTGGGCCAGTGAGTCGTCCTCCCTGTGCAGAGATGGTAGTGATGGCTTACAGAAATTCCCTTGGATAGCCTTGGCGAGAGACCAGAATGCACGGGTTCCCGAAGGAAGGCGAACTAGTTTCTCGCCAATTCTGCCTATGTGCTCTGACTTTGCCTTGGCAATAACTCTTTTGAAGGACCTGGAGGCGAAGTTATACTTCTTTTTAAGTGTGCTGGTGTTTACATCCCGAGTCGCCGAAGCCGCAGCCCAGGCTTGATAACACTCCTGCTTACTGCGTAATGCAGTCTTACAGGAGCGACCAAACCAAGGCTGAGATCTGCCTCCGATGGGTACCACAGATGATGGAATAAATAGTTCCATTCCCTGTAGCACCACATCAGTGACAGAGTCAGCAACAGCGCTGGGATCATCCGGCGAGAAGCAAACCCGCCCCCATGGGTAGGAAGCAAAGAAAGACCGCATTGCGTCCCAATCCGCCGACCTGTAATGCCAAACACGGCGGCAACCTGCAGAACGCAACCGCGAGGGGAGCGTGAGTGGCACCACACTCCGGATCAGACAATGGTCCGAAGAGCCGAGAGGGGCATCGACGGAAACCTGATATCCGTCCGGATGAGAGGTCAGCAGAAGGTCCAACGGGAAAGGTGTATGATCCTCCACATCTGGAATCCGCGTAGGCGAAGTAACCAATTGTGTCAGACCATATGCCAAGGCAAAGTCATAAACAGATCTCCCCGCATGATCGGTTAAACGTGAACCGAGCCATTCGGCGTGGTGGGCGTTAAAATTGCCAAGGATCACGATCTCTGCGGATGGGACCTGTTGTAGCAAGGAATCTGTAGCCATTTGGACGTGGTCGATGGGACTTAAAATAATGGCGTAACTTGAATGTCTTTATTATTTGAAATGTAAATGTATATAACTTGCTTTTTTTTATAGAAGTAGGGCGACAAACAGTTTGTCCTGGTGGTAAAGTTGATGCCGATGCCCATATAGACCCGTACGCCTATGATCAATCGAAAATCAATATGCAGATGATGGCGCGCCCTGATAATTTCTACTACTGGTGTACGACATACAAAATTTTCAATAGTAGAGGGAATTTCCTTTCTATTATAAATATTTAAAAGGCTGTGTGACAAAAGCAATGAAGCAACTTCATATTCCATTAGAGATAAATAGCTTCGACGATTTTGATTGGATATACTATCTATCCACCTGGTGGATGCTACATGTCCACCTGATAGTAAGCGACTACTATAGCACACGTACGTCTGTAATCAATTTCAAACAAAGAAGACAGACAGTTTGTAATAGTTTCTCCATACGCTTTAAACTTGAAAACGGCAGTGGATGCACTGCCGTTGGGCGTGTAAAATAGGTTATATGGCGGCAAGTACGAGCTGAATAATTCGTTTATTCAGCTCGTATTTTGTATTTATTTGGCCTTTGGGGAAGGACCATGCTTGCACAAAACGGTGGTGCGTAGTAACAGTATAACGCTGCTGTGTTCCGCATATAACAAGACGCTCCCACTTAAGTCTTCAAGGGTGACAACGCATCTACATTTTAATTCTTAGTCGAGGATAAATGTAGGTGACTATGATTCACATTATTTACGTACCATCATCAGGTAGATTGTGTGCTGATTTTTCACCCTTACGTATATAAAAAAAGACTAAAGGAGTGAAGATGTGTCAGAATCGAGCCAAATTGAAGACCGTAGTCTACCCTTCTGGGTGACCAGGCGAGAAATTTTATAGATATAGATAAATATAAACATATTATTATCTATATGATGTAATACTGACCTGGTCGGGCTGCAGCACAGAAGGCGGCGCGAGGTCGTCCAGGGACAGCTGCGTGTTGAGTACTGACGGCGGCGCGTAGTCCGACATGGCTGCCATGCTCTCCGCGGGCTTTACACAAACATTAATGATCATGACTTTCAGTACTAGTCGCTCGATATGAAAATGGACGGATATAAGAGTAGACGGAGGAATGAGATAAGATGGATGGACTGTATCCATCTTTTCTCGTCTAGAGGAGAATGGAAGAAGGAGACATTCTTATGCCGACTCCAAATAAAAGATATAAGTTGAAAGAAAGCTTGAGGTGTGGTGCCGGGTAAGAGAACCTATAACTCCATTTTGTCCCGTAGGTGCCGTAAGAGGCTGCTAAGGGATATCTCAGAAGAATTTCGTGCCTTCTAGTAGATAATACCGTAACCATTTCGAATTTGCCACGTGTTAATTACATTTGTCGAGCCATAAAGGAACAAAGGTACGAAA